GGTTATGGGTCTGCCGTCAAAGTTGCCAAGGTAGGAATGACAATGGGCCATAGAATCAGTTCCACTCAGACTGTCCAGAAACATAACGGGAAGCAATTGCTAACAAGACTCAGGGATGATACTTCATAGCTGTGTGATATGGATTATGAATAGAAAAACGGCCCCCACTGGACAAAGGGCATAAAGAACAATATATATGCTAGTAATATTGATTTGATCAACATATCTCAATGTTGGACCCCCAAAATACATAAAATCAATTTTGATTCAATAAAAATTTTTTTAAAGGAAGATATGAAAAATGGTCCCCAAAGAATTGAGAGTCTGTCCTAGAAAATCACCATTCATACGTAGTTAAGAAAAAGTAAAGATTTCATTTTCAGTAACTATTCTTCTATATTTGTTCTCTCTGGGACTGTTAAATGTGGGGGCTGGGAATTCATTCTACAATTAGAGAGCACCTCTACATGCATCGGGTGCAGAACGTTCTGCTAAGTTCTGAGGCAGCAAAAGTAAATGAAATGTACCGTTTGCCTTTGAGGAGCATCTAGTCCATGGGTCCCCACTCCCAGAATTAGGATCCAAAGTAGATTCCAGATAAATACTTGATGCACCTCCAAAGTGAAGGTCAACCACTCTGTGGAATCCTGGGAGGAAAGTAAATGAATATTTAAAGGTACTCTTATTTCACTCATTATGGGATGTCACTCGTACATGTCCTCCCCTACTGTCACACACACGCACACACAGACATGCGTGTACACACATTTCAGAAGTGGTAAATTTCAAGGTAAAATTCTTTAAGGGCTCCTCTTCCAGATCATTGAAAGCCTAGTGGTATCTTTCATTTTATGTAACTGAGGTCCACAGACACAAAGCTATTTTCCCAAAATCTCACAGCTGGTTACTATAAGAGCTGAGACTAGAATATCTTTCTCAGATCTACTGAATGTTAAATTCTAATACTTAATCACTAGCACTTTTAAATCACAGTCACAAGCCTCGTAATTTTCTAAAGAAGGTAGAAAGTGGTGTTGTACCTCGTAGTATTTAATAACATTGGGTGAATGAATGAGTGCATAGACACCCTTAAGGGAATGTAACGGTGAGATCACACAGGACAGTAACAGCATTTTACCCATTCTAAAGGATGACCAGAGGCAACTAGGTTCATTAAACAGTTCCTAGCCAATGTAAACAACTCAGACCACATCTTTTCTAAATTTCTGTGACTTTAGTACTAAGTCCCTTGAGGCCATTATCTCTTCTGATGGAGCAGGGGGTCTAAGTGACCTTGCCCACACAGCAGAAGCTGACAGTACTCATGATAATAAATTTCTTTCATTATTAAAAAATAGACCAACTTTTGTTGCA